GGGAGAAGGATGGGGGTGCACAAAAGCAGAGTCACAGGCGGGAAGAGGAAGATGAGGCAGGGCCAGTGGGTGCCACTCTGCATAGACCCAGCTTTGCTCAGCGGGGTGAGGGGGATGAGGGCAGGGGTGACTGTGACCTGGAGAAGGGGAAGGTCTGGTGCTCCAGGCACAAGCAGACCAGAGGGGAGCAGGGGGTGGGGAGAGGAGCGACCAGGGCCCCAGTGCAGGGCAGCTGCTCCTCACCTCAGCTCCTGCCCTGCAAGACCCCTGCCCTCCGACACACACCCTCCCAAAACACACAGCCTCGTGGGCTTCCATCTGTCTGGGGGACTCACCAAACGGTTATTCTCAAAGACATTGTCCTTGGAAAGTGAATCAAACTCTCTGCAAGAGACAAAGTCGGGGAGGAGCATTGAGAGGGCTGGGGCAGGGGCATGACCACATCCCAGCCAGCCTGGGTCTCAGCGGGGTTGGGGGAGGGGTCTGTGGACTGTGGAGGAGGAAACTGAGGCAAGGAACGCGTGCTCATAGAGCGGGGGCTGCCAGGTGGGGCAGAGAATGAGCACATGGCCCCCGGGGGCCTCCAGGCAGAGGCTGGAAACCACTCAGAAGGGGTGGGGGGTTGAAAAGCCCCAGCTTCCAGTTTATCCCCCAGGAAGCCATGTCCTGACTCAGTGGCAAAGACAAAACTAAGACCAGGACCAATGCTGGTGACAACAAGGACACCCACAGATTGCTGACCTCATGCTGAGCACTGGGCTGAGCTCCTGTCTTGAATTTATTTTCAGCTCTACTTGACAGGTATTTACCCCACTTTACAGATAGAGACACTGAGGCCCAGAGAGAGGAAGCCACCCCGGGAAGAGGAAGCCGCCCTGGGAATCCACATTTCTGCTCCTTCCACTACATGTCACAAACCTGGAGAAGCCACATCAACTTGCTGAAACCCTAACCCAGGCCGAAGAGGAATGTTGTTTCAATGGGGCCAGGAATAGAACAAGTCTGAACCAGCCTGGAAATAGTACATTCTCCAGAGCTGCTGGCACTGAACGGCTGGCCAACCCTGCTGAGCCACTCCTGGGGGCACCATCCTTCGGGGAGCAGTGAAGGGTGTCCCAGTTCCTAAGCTGGGACAGGTGAGAAGTGGCAGGGCCTGCCGGAGTAACCTAGCTTTTATTTATTCCCCTCCCCACCTCCTGGCTCCAGCTGCTGGAGTGGCTGAAACCAGCGGAGGAGACCCAGCCTTCTTGCTCAGCAGCCTCCTGGGTGCACCCACCCCAAGCCTTGTCCTTCTACGGCTGGAAACTGCAGCCTGACTGCCTGAGACGTGGGCCCAGAGGCCGGAGAAGGCAGTACGGCCTCCAAAGTCTGGGTCCCAGGCCCTGCTCTTCCAGGTCAGGCTATGTGACCTTGGGCGAGTTGGCAGTCCTTGTGGCCTTCATTTTCCCATCTGCAAACTAGGGGAAGCCCTCGTACCACCTCCCAGGCTGGTGGGGAGGACCAGGCTTGTTAGAGGCCGGCCTCACAGACACAAGAGAGCCCTCTTCCTCCTGCCCACCTGGCTGCTAACTTCTCCAGGCAGATATCAAGGTACAGTGAACGTGGGCCAAGGCAGGAAGGAGTAGTTTGCAAACCCCAGGAGGTGCCCAAGGCCAAAAGGCCGAGTGGACTGGGGAGGGGATTGTGTATGCACTTCAGCCCCTTTTGCCACCTCTGGCCAGACCGCTTCTTTCTCCCCTCAGCTGGGTCCTGAACTCCTCCCCTTGCTTGGCCACTGCCTAAGAGTGTGACCCGGAGCAAGCTACACAACCTCTCTAAACCTAGGGGACACTGTGACACCAGCCCAGCCCCCAACAAAAGCTTGTTCTGAGGCTGAATGAGACAAAAGCAGCTTGTCTGGGCCGTTTATTTCAGTCTCCCAGCAGTGTTCTTAGAAGGCTAGGGTCACATTTTGTTCACGGCGTACACTCAACACCCTCCACAGTGCCCAGTACTTAGTAGGCACTCCATAAATGTCTACTGAATGCATAAATGCCGGAAACAGCGTGAAAACTGTAAAGGTCCCCACGATACTACAATTTTTCCTCCACCTCTCCCTCCCCTACCTTCGTCCCTAATCAACATCTAGGCTTTGGAAACATATTTTCTGAGAGTTTTCGAAGGCTGGGAAGTTCTATTTGGCTCTGGGGGAGGTGAGGAGCACAAAAATGAAACCCACATGGTCCCTCAAGGGAGCTTAAAGATGCCTAGATTTGAGAAGGGAGAATGAGCCCACAGCTCGAGAAGACTGAACCACTTTAGAAGATGGTGCTTGCCCTAGCCCCTACCCCAGCCCTACTCTCATGGAGATCCTCCCTAGCCATCACCGAGGTCCTCTCTATGCCTCATATAGGACCTGGGCCTCGGTTTTTCTCCCGTGCAATGGGCTGGCAGCCCAGATGCTGGCCTGCCTTGCAAATGAATGCCTGGACCTGATTCTGGATCTCTTCACAGGAGGGAAGCCCCCTCCGCTCCACACGAACTCTAGCCACATCCCTCCCTGTGGCCCCATCCACCCTCCTTAGCCAGCAGGAAGCCCTAAGCACTCTGGCCCAGCCACATCTCCCAGCCCTCCCTGCCCTGTGCTATGGGCTCCAACAGTGCCGCCTGTGTCTGTGCTCAGGTAGTCCCCTCTGCCGGGAATGCCCTTCCCTCAGCCCTGACCCAGCTCCTGCTATCTCCTTGAAGTCTATGTGACGGCTGGGAGGCCTTCCCAACCTAGCCCTTTGATACAGCACTTCCCACGTGGAGTTATCAGCACTGCTTATACATCTGTTACCCCCATAGGCCATGGGAGACTGTGTGGGGTTTGCCTCTTGGTTGGTTAGTAGCTATTTCCATTACCAAGCACAGTGTCCAGCACAGAGTATAACTCTGCAGACATTTGTGGAATAAACGAAGGAATGAGACACTTTCATCATCCCTTCCTCCTTAATAACACTTCTTATAATGACTAATGTTAATTGAATGTTCATTGTCCCATTTAATTTCTCCCAACAATCCTGTGAGGTAGGTCTTATTATCAACCCCCCTTTACTGACCAGGAAACTGATGCCTGGAGGGATCCAGTGATTTTCCCAAGGTTGCACACCTAAGACATGGAGGAGCTGACCGGAAACCAAGCAGCCTGCACTTTGTCCATTGCGTGGCTTAGCTTGACACCTAAGTCCTGTCACACACTGGCCAACCCTGCCTCACCACTTGCCCCCCAGCCAAAACAGAAGACCCCTTGAGCCCTCCGCTCTAATCCGTGGGTCCAATCTGGGTGCCCTCCTTCTCCAACCTTCAAGGCGTGGATCCTGAGCCCCCTTACCCCTTGCCACAGGCCCCACAAGAGGCAGCAGCCCACCTACATCTCCACCTCATCTCGTTCGCTTCTGCATCCACACCCCCCAAAACCCTCTCCTCCAGGGCCCACCCCACCACCTACATGGTACAGAATAAACTAAATGCATCTACACCATCGAATCCTTGAGGCAATCCTTCCCTTCCTTCCTTCCTTCATCAAAGCCTCCCAGGTGCTGTCTTTGGGGAGCACAGGAGGTAGAACAGACACACAAAGACTCCAGACCCTGTCAGGCTTGGGGAGCCCTGTCTGAGGGGCTGTAAGCAAGACAGACAAGGACCATGACTCTTGTCCCCAATTTGCAGATGAGACCGAAGTACAAGGAATGGCAGCTGCCAGATAAACATGCACTCAGTGTTTTATGAATGAATGAATGAATGGAAGAGGTTCCAGGGCCCAAGGAAGAAGGAGCTGAGATAGAAACACCAAGTCAACTCTTCTGGGGTCTGAATAAATTTTCCCGTGGAACCTCACTGGGCACCTGGGGACAAGAAGAGGCCATTTCACACCCTGGAACAGCCCATTAGGGCTGTAGGTCAGACCCTAGGAGTTTTCACTCAGCCTCCCTGCCCCACTGAGGACAGCAGAGTCATGCGGAACACACCTGGGGAGACAGGTCTGTGTCCTAATGGGGAGGGGGTTACATCCATTCATCTGACCTCTATTAACCTAGGGTTTCCTCTGTGCCAGGCACTGTGCTAGTGCCCTGGAAACATGATCACATGGGGGAATCAAAGCAAGGGGGCCCCACAGAGGGAACAGGCCTCAATGCCCCACGTGGAGGGGGCTGCTCAGAGTGCCTGTTTAAGAGTTTAGTGTAAGAAAGGCCCAGGGTCCCCGAGGAGGGCTCGGTGCTCCCTCAAAGAGGCAAGGCCTTGGAGGCTTCGGTGTCCCTTGGGCGGAAATCAGTGCCCTGTGGGCGTGGCCAGGGCCTCAGCAGAAAGACCAGCATGGGGGGCGGGCTGTGTTCCAGTGGGCGGGGTCAAAGAGGCCAAGTGGGGGAGGGGTGCCCTGGATCAGAGGGTCTCCGCGAGGCGTTGGGGGCCCGCGGGAGGGTGGGAGTCTCGGCCTCTGGGGGCGGCGCCTGCCGCAGCCCCAGCTTCGCGTCACTGAGCGGGGCGGGGGTCCCCAGCTCGAGCCCGCGCCGCCCTGCGCCCCGGCCGCCCGCCCGCCCTCCCGGCACTCACAGCAGGTCGGGCCGGTGCCGGTGCAGGATGGCGCAGAAGGCCAGGCCGTCCCGGAAGGAGCTGCTCAGGTCGCGGATGTCCACGCCGCGGTAGCCCTCGCACTGGCGGCGGCACCAAGCCAGCAGCGCGACCCGCGGCCCCGCCATGAGCCGCGCGGGGCTCGGGCCCGGCTCCGGGCGCCGCCGGGACCGGGCTTCACCCTCGGGCCCGGCTCGGGGCGGTTTCTAGCTACGGCTGCGGCTGTGATTCCGGCGCGGCCCAGCCGGCGCAGCTTGGAGCTCGGGGCGCGACCCGCTGGCGGCGGGCGCGGGGCGGGGAGGAGGCGGGGCCTCCTCGGGCTCCGGAGCTCGGGCTCCGGAGTGGGGTCCCGGGTCGGCTGCCTGCTTCCCGCCCGGCCCTGCCCGAACCTGCCCGAGCAGCCGCTGCCCGAATGGCCCGGCCCGGCAGGCCGCCGCCTACTCACCGCCGCCCGCTCCCCTCGCTGCGGGCCGGCCGCGGGCACGGGCGTCCCGCTGGTCTCGGTCTCCGCCCGCCGCCGCGGGGGAGCGGGGAGGGGGCGGCGGCCTGGCGCCCCACCCAGCGGTGGCTCCGCCCCCCAGACGCGGACCCCGCACCCCCACCCGCCTCACGGGCCCAGCACCCCACCGCCCCTCTCCTCGGCGATCCCGGTCACCCCTTCCCACTCCCCGCCGTGGACTCCTCAAAGAACTCTGGGGTGGCCCCTGAACCCCCTCACCCACCGCAAACTAGCCCCTCCCCACAGTGACTTCTTCCTCCACCACGCTGCCCACCGGGAAGTCTCCTCTTGCTCCCATCCTGAGTGCTTCCCACTCTAAGGACCTGCAAATCCCCCACATTCCCCTGGCCTGAAACTTTGCGGAGGCATTCTCCCCACCCCCGGCCAATCAGGCAGTTCCCCTGCAGACCCCAAAGCACCCCCAGATGACCACTAGATTCATTCACCCTGTCTCACCACTCCAAAACACCCTTGACCTCCAGTGGTTCTGTCTGCCACCTTCCCCTCCCCCCAGAGCCGGACCGGGAGACTCCATGCTCCCACCCGTGGGACCCCGGGGCCCTTCCCATGGGACCCCACCACCACCACCACCACCACCACCACAATGGTCCAGGTGTCCACTCAGTGATGTATTGAGCCTGACAAGGGGTCCTGCAGAGTTTTCCTCACCCCCAAGTAGGGTCAGGGATCTCACCCCTCCCCACTGGGGCATCCTGACTAGGGTTGGGGGGGTTGGGGTCCCATGGGAAGGACCTATGGGAAGCAGGCCCTTGTCTAATGGGACATTGGGTGTCTGGCCTTGGAACCTCTGCAGCCTCATTCTCCTGCTCCCCCATCCAGACCTGGGTTAGCCACCCTCCCCAGAGGCCTCTCCTGACCTCCAGGAGATGAATCAGCTTCCACTAGGCTGCCATGGCAGTGACATCACTGACCAGTGCAATAGTTAGCTGGGATGAGTCTGTCGCACCACCCCCCAAAGGAAGGAGCGGGATCCTAGTCATCTCTGTCAGCCATCAGCCCTTGGAGGAATGGAAAGAACAGGGGTGTATGAACCCAGGCTCGAATCCTGGCTTTTCCCACTCACTCAGCCGTGTGACCGTGTGCCTCCATGAACCTCAGTTTCCACATCTTAATAATGGGGATAATTCCTGCTTTACAAAGTGGCTGAGAGGAGTAAGATGTGCCTCACAATTAGTCCGCACTCATAAACTCTAACTATTGATACCTGGTGCCTGGTAAACATGTGATAAAATGGATTGAAAACATTTTGTACCCAGCTTGTCCCTTGGACCTTTGTGAGTAAATTATGGAGGAAAGAGGCCAACTTGGGGAATCCCACCTCCTCAAAGGTTCACTGAGTCCCAGCTCGGAATACAATTATGACCCAGGGGACCCCAGCTTGCGAGCCTGGGGCAGCCTCACACCCTGAATCTGTCCACAGCTGGAAGGCCACCATCTTGGCCCAGAACGCCGACTTTCAGGTTACCTAGGAAAGGGCTGCCATGAGCCAGGCTGCCTGGCCAGCCCCCTTGGCCCCTCACCAACCCTTCACTGCCACCTCCGGCCCTGTCCCTGTGGGAAAGCAACTCTAAGAAAGGAGGGTTCCAGGTACTCTCATTAAATCAGGGACTTGGGCTCAGGACCCAGATACCACACCCACCTTGGCCTCCAAAGACCACCAGTACTCTTCATTAAAGCCCAGGAGGGATTATTTTCCTCTCCTCACCAGCCTAAGGGGCTCCCTTCAGGTCCCTGGAGACAGTTTCAGATCTGACCTTGATCCCTTTGCCATGATAGTAGCTCACCCAGCCCAGCCTCTGGGCCCTAATTAGCCATTTGTGGGGTTTATAAACTCATTATCTGAGTCAGCTCATCATGATAGGAGGTAAGGGCCTGCATGACCACAGCTGTGTGACCACAGGCCAGACAACTCCACCCCTATGAACCCTAATTTCTTACCCTATAAAATTGGGATAATAATCTTTGCCTTGCCTGCGTCCCAAGGTTGTGGGTAATCCGGTGAGGTAATGAATGGAAAAATGCCGTGCAGACTGTAAATCCAGGGTTCAGGTGGGAGGTGGGACTGTGTTTACAGGTGAGGTCAGAAGCCACAGACAGCTATGCAAGTCAGGTCACCAGCCCAAAATCATACCAAAATATCAGGATTAGAACTAAGGGATTTGGGCCCTTCGTTTGGTGTATTTATTTTTTAACTGTCAGTTAAGAAGTAAATACACTCTCATCAAAAATTTTAAAATAAAATAAAGCTAAAGTTCCTACTTGACTGTCTCCCTCAACCCCAGTCCCCTCCTAAGATGTAGCCACGGTTGTCAGTTTTTTGTTTTTTTAATATTTATTTATTTATTATTTATTTGGCTGCTTCGGGTCTCTAGTTGTGGCATGTACACGGGATCTAGTTCCCTGACCAGGGATCGAACCTGGGCCCCCTGCATTGGGAGCACGGAGTCTTAACCACTGGACCACCAGGGAAGTCCCATGGTTGTCAGTATGAAGTCGAACCTTCCAGACCTTGTGCATGCATTTATATTCAAACATGGATTCAACAAATATTGACCAAGTACCTGCTCCTTGGCTGGGGAGCTCCGGGTTAGATATGGTGAACAAGACAGGATCCCTGCCGTCATGGAACTAACATTCTAGTGGAGAAGACAGGCAGGGAACAAATAAAGCAACAAAGATTATTTCAGATGGTGAAAGGGGCTTGGAAGAGAATAAAGTAAGACACTGTGACAAAGAACCATGGGAACAGACGGGGCTTCCAGGGGAGGCCTCTTTGTGGTGGGAACATTTGAGCTGAATGATACGCATCCCCCAAGAAAGCAAGTCGGATGCGAGCCAGTGAGAGATCATTGCAGGTAGTTTGAATCCTTCTAATTTATTCCCAGTAATAGCACGAGGCAGGATCCTGGCAGGGAAGTGCTGGCTAGTGTGGTGAGTGAGACAGGCTAGTGGCTACTCTTCGTCCAGAATGATAAGGGGCAAAGGAAAAAGAAGCCCCAAGGAAGAACAGGCGTCCAGAGGAGGGCCCTGACTAGTCTGGGAAAGGGTGCCATACTTTCCACTTCCCATTCTTCCTGCCAGCTTGCTTTGCAGGAGGGCTGTGATGGAGGGAGATGCAAAGGCAGAATGAAGAAAAGCCCCACGGGGTGGGGGATGGAGTTGGGGGAGAAGCTGATGTCGAATGAACACTGGTGGGAATGGCTGAGTGAATGAATGACCAGCACTTACAGCTTACACTTATTTTCACACACAGATCTCAAAGTAAATTTCAGAAAGATGAAAGGGAGAGGAACGGCCATGGTGGGGACCTGGAGAGGCTGAGGGGGAAAAGAATGTCATCATTGCCTCTGGGAATCTCTGGTTGTTGAGTCCCCACCCGACTCTGCGCCTGTTCAGAGGCGGGGGGCTGGGGTCTGCTTCTCTCTCAGAGCCGGAAGTCCACCTGTGTCTGTGCGTTCCTGGGTGTGGGAGGTGATGCCTGGTTGGCCCCATTTCACTCACCACCTACTCTCTTTGCCACTGACTTGCTGGGAGACCCTGGATAAATATGTCACCTGTCAAAGGTTCAATGTCAATATCTATAAAAGGTGGGCCTTTGCCCACCTTGTGAGGCAGCAGGCCTGTTTCTAGGACTCTATCCTCCAGAAATAGTATCCCAGGGGCCCCAAGATGCACATACAAAGATGGTCATTGTTCGCTAACAACCTAAATGTTCATGAGGGACAGCATAATTAAGTTTCAATACAGCTGGAAAACAGAAAACCACCAGCTGTTAAAAAGAGCATCCTGGGGCTTCCCTGGTGGTGCAGTGGTTGAGAGTCCGCCTGCCGATGCAGGGGACACGGGTTCGTGCCCCGGCCCGGGAAGATCCCACATGCCGCGGAGCAGCTGGGCCCGTGAGCCATGGCCGCTGAGCCTGCGCGTCCGGAGCCTGTGCTCTGCAACGGGAGAGGCCACAGCAGTGAGAGGCCCACCTCCCGCAAAAAAAAAAAAAAAAGAGCATCCTGGGGGATTTCCCTGGCACTCCAGGGGTTGAGACCCCATTGCAGGGGGCACAGGTTCTGGCTGGGGAATTAAGATCCCACATGCCCCACGGTGTGGCCACAAAAAAAAAAAAAATGTCCTGGAAACAACAACGTCCTACTGTATAGCACAGGAAACTATATTTAATATCCTGTGATAAACCATAATGGAAAATAATATGAAAAAAAAGAATATATATATATGCATAACTGAGTTACTTTACCGTCCAGCAGAAAATAACACCACATTGTAAATCAACCACACTTCAAGAAAAATTTTTTTAACAAGTGTCATGGAAATACATCCTCAAAAGAAGTGAAAAGAGCAAGCTGTAAAATAACAGATATACTAGGATTCCATTTTTGCAAAACCAAATTTATATACATATAACATATATATCATGTATAGTTATGTATATAAACATTTACATGTGCAGATATATGGAATTTTAAAACATCACAAAGAAAGGAAAAAATCTACCCAAATGCTGTCAATGGTTCACTATGGGAGTGAGATGGGGGTGTGGCAAACTCACTTTTTTTTTTTTTAATAAACTTATGTATTTATTTATTTTGGGCTGCGTTGGGTCTTCGTTGCTGCGTGCAGGCT